TTTCAAAATTTGGCGAAATTTATTTGAAAAAAATATCCAGTTTTTATGAGCCAAATTTGAATATTATTATTTTACTCTATAAATAAAGCAAAGAAATCCAGAATCAATTCATTTAATTCAATCATATTAAAATTGGTTATTATTAATTCAATTTCCTTGAATTTAAATTTATTATTGAGCTTCATAATACTTAGCTTAGATTTTCCCATTTATTATTTGGAAATTCATATTTTTTAAAATGCGAAATTGGGTAATGTATTTATTCATAACTAATATTTTAGTAAACACTTTGCCTTTTTTCAAAATTCAAACTTGCGTTATCGGCACAAAAACTGTTACATTTGATAGTCAAATGTTAGAATTTTCAAGGCTCTGCACAAGCATAGATGCAATATCCGTCGATTTCTCCTAGTTCGATTGAAATTTTTTTATTTACTTGAAACACCTCTTTATTATCTTTATTGGGAATGTTTTATTAATTTCGAATATTTGATGCATTCGTTAATAGAGAAATTGGATGATTTTCCTTCAAATCGTGCAATCTGTAGATAGAAAACTAAGCGAATGTTTTATCATGTGAGAGATGAATGCCGTTTCGGTTGTTACAGTATTTTCTTCACATAAATTATTGTTTTGAAGTATGTTTGGATATCATTCTATAATTCCCTTTTTAAAAATTGTATATATATTTTTGCCTTGTTAGATGTTTTTTTTTACGGAATGGAACTCATAAATTTTATATTGCATATTAATTATACAAATTTAATTTAAACTACTTTCTATAATATAAGATTATAATTAAGTGGATGCCTTGATGATACAAATAAATAAATTTTAATTTAATTAAAATTGGTTAATTAAATCAATATATTTATTTACCAATAACATGTAAAATAGTCCTTCGGACAATTTACCCACTTGCCAACCCTGCTGCAAGCGTTACTACAAAAGACGCGTTACAAGTGTTGTTAAAGTAACGCGCTTTTCAGAAACGGTAACTTAAGCGTGCGATTAAAAATAGTGATAACGGTAGATCGCTACTAATTTAGAAAGTAACGAAGTAGCACGATACTTTTAATTATATATAATAATTACTCATAAAAATTGTTAAAATGTATTTATAACTAATTTTAAAATCATAATCATTAAATTTAATTTTGAAAATTATTTTTAAAAATCTGCTTATAAGTCTAGTTTTAAAAATAATTAAAAATGTCGGCGATAGAGATTGATATTGAAAATAATTTTGCTACAGATCATATCGACAAAGTAATTTCTCTGGAAAATGATGATGATATGGAATTTCTTTTCCCTGAATTCGCAAAATATTTTAATATCGATAAAAAAATTATTACAGTATATAAATTTCACTGTAAGATTTGTCGGATTTTTATCATCAAATAAGACTAGTTAGCTTTAACGATGAAACATTTCAAAGTTATATATCAGAGACCTGCAGAGATACCATTTGCACGACCCGGCCTGGCCGGATTTTTTTTCAAAAATTTTTTACGGGCCGGCCCGAGTTTAAAAATTTTAGACCCGGTCCGGCCGAGATATTAAAAAAAAATTTTCTGGGCCCGGCCCGGATTTTTTAAAATTGTATTTGGCCTGGTATATAAAAAATTCACCTATTCGGTATTTTATTATATTTTTCGGCGAGTATTATCATTTAATAAGCAAACATATTAGCTAATGTTGTTAAACGGCTCGTTTTGAGCCGATTTTTAAAAACGTCTCGAAATTTCGATACTATCTTCTATGAACAAAATTTTCTGGCATGTATAATATTTTTCTGGATAAAATACTGAGTTAGCCGTTTTTAAAAATCGGCTCAAAACGAGCCGTTACTAATTTTATTTCTTTATATTCTAAACAGATATTTAGTATATTACAAATTAATACTATAAAAAATTTGTGTAAATAATATTTTGAGAATATACTATATTAATTGTATTTATAAAAAAAAAAAAACTGATATTTTAATTAATAAAAAATATAACATATATTATATAATAATGTATTTAATCCTTTGCGTATTTATTCCATGGCAGGAAAACTATAATTATATTATGTAATAGATACTATGAGTGTTAGCTAGTGTTAACTTTCACCCAACATTATATTAATCATAACTATATATATTCATTATAACCATATCTAATTGACGAATATAATAATTCATGTTGTATAAATTTTTTTTTAAATTTTACGGCCCAGTCTGGCCCGGGTATTTAAAAAAAAAATTTCAAGCCCAATTCGGGTATATTAATTTAAAATGGGCTTAGGGCCGGGCCTGCAGGTCTCTGTTATATATCAAACAAATTTAATATCTTTAAAAGAATCAAAGATGGGTCTATAATAGTTTTTGAGGAATTTATGTGAAAGTTGATTTTCTGGTTCAGTCCAGGTATGTTTCAACTGATCATAAGATATTATTTAAGAATTATATTATAAATTAATGATTACAATAAATAATATTAACATTTTTTATCATCGGACTCCTCTATCTAATGATAATATATGATAAATTATTATTTGGATGTTTAACATGCTTAAAATTAACCACTGATCTATTTATATATTTATAAATTTTATCTAAACATGCTGGGAAATATTTACTTCAATCTTTTCACATTTTAACCAATTTTGTAGGAAATTGGTTCAATAAATAAAATGTTAAAGGGTGGGGACCTGGCTAGTTAGCAAACATGGCCCTCTATTTATCCCCTACAAAATTTTTAGATCAAAAAGGTCATCTACTATGGATGATTTTTTTGAAATAAATAATAATATTATTGAGAAACATTTGGACCCATTTTTTTAAATCTAAAAATAAATATACTATGAATATTTTTGATGATTTTTCTTATATAAAAAATGTTTTAAAATGATGCGTTATATATATGATTTTAAAATTACTTGATTTTAAAAGTAACTAGTTCTTGATTTATAAGTTTCAAAAGTAACTTTTAACAACATTAAAAAAATACCCCAATTTTCAAAAAAAATACATTTTTAAAATAACCTTTTTAAGAAATTTATAAAATTGGGGATCGTCCGGGATAGTTTTGTTAGGCTCTTTTTTGTCCAAAATATTTATATCCACGATATTTTAAACTTATAAATTAAATTACAAACCAGGTATATATTGGGCCCCCATTAAAAAAAATATTTCAAAAACCCATATTTATTTTATCTTATAACTTATTTATTTTCTTTTATTTATTTGAGAATCCACATCCTCGGGCCGGTCCTAAAAAATTTTCTAAAAAAAAATATATTTTCTAAAAATCCGGGCAGTGTGCAAGTGGTATCTCTGCAGGTCCCTGATTTATTCTTTTCTCTTTTATAATTTTTCTTTAGGTTTCAAAATACATTTTTTAATATTTAAGATTTTGAATTAAATTATTTGAGAATTAAAAAAAACACTTTTTTGGTTCTAATAATTTTATAATATATTTTATTTTTTTCGTATTTTTGTCTAGACTACATTTTAAAAAATATATTATACGAATAAAATAAGCTCTTACTTTTTTTAAAAAAAAAAAAATTTAATCTACAAATTGAAAAATAACTATTTGTAAAATAAAATTAAAAAATATAATAATTTATTTTAAATTAAAAACCACACAATAAAAATCCTATTTTCTGGGTTCAATTAAGTTCACTACTTTTCCATAATAGTGAGTGAGTAATTATAATATAGCTATTGATTGGGCAAAAGTTCTTTAATTAGACCTCACATATTCGAATATTTTTTTTGTTTAGATTTTAAATAATCTGTTTTAAAAAAAATTATTGATACATAAGCTTAATGCCAACAAAATTTTTCGGTTTAAAATTGGATTAACTTATACTGCATTTATAATAAACGTGTTATCTATCGTTCGTTACCTTATGAAGTGCATGTTGTTACAGCTGATTCAGTTTTAAAATAAAAGCTAAAATAAAGAAGTATTTTATATAATATCTTTTTATCGAATTCACTATTATTTTTATAATCGTATCGCTTATTTTTTATCAACACATCGCAACTATGTTTTTCATATTTTATGTAGCGTTATCATCATAACCCTGCATTCATAGAGCGCGAATTCGCGGTGAGGTATACAAAATATGTTATATTTTTGTATTCTTCGCAGCGAATTTTGTATACTTTGCCGCGAATTGCGTTGTGAATTCACGGTAACGTTCCATATTGGCTTTATTTTGTAATGAGGGTGCGTTACGCGTTTGGTTTTTCTATCGGCATAAATAAATCACTCACATTTCTTTTATTAAACATCAAAGTTTTCAAAAAAACGAATAAATTAAAATAAACATTTTTGACATGGTACTTTTCCAGTTGAATTTTTTTTCGAGTCATAAAAACTGGAATCATATCCCTATAGTGATATAAAACAATATTAAAAAATTTGTTTAGAGTTAAAAAAAATGTTATTTATCCCTCTCTATCAATTTTATCATTTCATGAGAAGTTTTCATTGATTAAGGGTTCGGTCCGATTTATAGCCTATCCCAATATTTTAATAAAATATTCATTAAAACGTTTAGATTGTTGTCTGGTTGACTTTCAAAATTTTATTGTATTTGGTTAATTTTTCATTATATAAACATATAAATCCTATATTTTTAGTACTTTCAAATCGGGCAGTTTTTAAAAAAATTTATTCATAATTTTTTTTAAAATGATACCTTTAGGTTTTTTTAAGGTTTGGTCTGTCAAAAATTTGTTTCAAAATTTTAGAACTATAAACGAGGCTGGAGAAAGGTTAAAGTTTTGAAATCTTTATAAAATAATGTTTTGGCCACATTTTTGCTTATACATTAAAAAAAAAATTTATCACATGTTTTTTGATAGTTTTAAAATTAAATTTTTTGATATTTTGGACGCAGGAGCAAAATGATTTAGATTTATTTTATTATTTATTTTTAAAAAAAAACCAGACATTCCTTTTTATAAATTTTGTTTTTATTATTTTTTTTTTTAAATTTTCTTTTAAAAAAACATATGATTTCTCTATTATTTTATTTTATTTCATATATTATTTTTTTTGCAAAAATGTCATCATCATAATTTGGTTTTCTCAGAATTCCTATCCAGAAAGATATTTGCTCTGAAATGAAAGTAATTTTTTTTTCAAAAATATAAAATTCGATTTTTACAAGCACATATTCATGTGATTGGCACATGAGTTACTGGTTTAACATACCTAATCTAATCGCTATCAAATCCTTTATTAGTATTTTATGTTGTTATTGTAATTATTTGAAAGAAGCTCTTTTTTTCCCCCAGAGGAAGTTTGAGGGTTAATTAAATTTTATTTTGTTGAAATTGTAAACAGATTGAGAAAATTTTGGAATCTTGGCTGAAATCTATTTTTAAAAAAATTAATTTAAATACCGATTTTACACCAATAATTTAGGGATTGCGTTGTGCCTTAATACTAGTGAAGTTATTCGAAACCGAGTTATGAGTTAAGTTGTACGGGTAGAGCCACGTCTACACATTCTAAAGACCGCGACCAATATTTTGCACATTTTGGGAGATTCAGCCAAATCCCGTTTGCAAGTTTAAGGCCGTGTCTTGGTTCGTTTAATTTTTGAAATATTATTTATGATTGAACTACGACACCCTATTCTGCTTTGTACATTAAATAAATATATATTTTTCGGTAAAAATGATCTTTACTTATGCCCAATTTTTTAAGGCTGTTAAAGTATAAACACGATTGTTTAGAAATAAGACGAACTAAAACATGGCCTAGACTTTTTTCTTGTTCGATTAACTTCAAATTTATGGAATATTAGATTTTTAGAGAGAATAGCAAAATGTTCCTATTTATCTTTCTGGTAGTGTGCGTATTCAGCTAATTTTAGCGAACTAAAAGCGGCTTAGCCGAGTCTTATACCTATAGCCCAAATATCGGTTAAAACTAATTAGGCATCAGATAAAAGCTCAGGCTAATCGTCCGTCAGCTTTACTTTAAAAATAAAATAATTACATATATATATATCAGAGACCTGCAAAGATACCATTTGCACGGCCCGGATTTTTTCAAAATTTTTTTACAGCCCGGCCCGGGTTTAAAAATTTTAGACCCAGCCCGGATATTTAAAAAAAATGTTTTGGGCTTGTTTAAAATTATATTCGACCTGGTATATACAAAAAATTTACCTATTTGGTATTTTATCATATTTTTCAGCTAGTATTATCATTTAATAAGCAAGCATATTAGCTAATGTTGTTAAACGGCTCGTTTTGAGCTTGACTAAGCCTCGAAATTTCGATACTATATGTCTAGACCTTTGTTCCTTCTATGAGCAAAATTTTCAGGATTGCGTAATATTTTTCTGGATAAAAAACTGAGTTAGCCGTTTTTAAAAATGAGGCGTTTTAACAACACTATTTTATTTTTTTATTATAAACAGATATTTAATATATTATAAATTGATACTATAAAAAATTTGTGTAAATAATATTTTGAAAATATACTATATTATTAATTGTATTTATAAAAAAATAAAACTGATAATTTAATTAAAAAAATGTTACATATATTATATAATAATGTATTTAATCCTTTTGTATTTATTCCATGGCAGAAAAACTGTAATTATATTAATCATAACTATATATAATCATTATAACTATCTAATTGACGAATATAATAATTTATGTTCGGGTTTAAAAAAAAAATTTTCAGACCCGGCCCGGGTATATTTTAAATATTTAAAATACGGCTCGGCCAAATAAGTGATAATTAAGGTGAGGAGTTGACGGTCTATTAGCCGAGCTCCTTAGCCAATACATAATTTATGAATAATTAAGTAGCCGATTTTTCGGCTAAGCCTAATTAGGCTTAGTTGAGTTTTTAGCCAATTACGAAGAAATATAAGCAATAAATATTGGCATAGGCTTCGCAATTTGTACCTCAAATTCGTCCATCAAATTTACTCCTCATTCATAGTGAAGAAAAAATACATCTAATATGGCTTAGGGAAACATTATCTGTATCACCATAATTTTTAGAGACTGGGGATAGGGTCATATACCCAAAAAGTTGAAAGGACTGCCGTAAATTAAAACTAATTTTCTTAGCAAGTGATATTATAAAGTTCTAACGAAGGAATTTAAAATAATTTGATGACTTTTTCTGATAAAAATTTTGCGGTGATGGATAATCATTATACTTACGCGGCTTTGACCTAATATAATAACGTTTAAAATTAAATCGTTTATGTAAATATACTAAAATTCTTTGTTTTTTTCTTCTTCTTTAAAATTTTAGAAATGTTAGAGAACTGATTCTAGAGGGATTTTAATATAATTCTTAGAATTGGAATCCTTGGAGCAGGATGACAACATAATGCTTCTAGTTCCTCTAGGTCCTTTTTTGAAAATTTGAATATACTTATAGAATAAGTTATTCAATTCAAAAAAATATAAGATAGAATAGTTTGCTACAATTTTTTTATTATCACAATATTGATTGCACTTAAAAATAAATGTTATCTGAATTTTAAACTAATATATTTTATTAAAAATAGCATATAAGTACATTATCTTATAAAAAATCATATACTACAATATTTTAGAAATAAAAAAATAGGTGCTACGATCTCCCTTACTCCTACAATATTTTCAATTTGAACAAAACGACTTTTTTTAGTAAGACTTAATTAAGTAATAAATGCTAGTTGACAGCACTGTTAGATTACTTTATAATGTGTTTTTTTTTTTTTTTTTCTCTTTAGCTTTCACCTTTTCTGGTGGTAAGCTCCTTCAACATCTCTCTCCACTTTATGTTATTCGTACAATCTCTTTTATCTATTTTATACTTCTTTATATTGGCTCTAACTTTATGGCCCCATTGAAGTTTTGGCCTTCCTCTTTTACGTTTGCCCATCACTTCCAATCTTTCAACTTTATTTCCTATGTAGTTCATAGGCCTTCTCATTGTGTGCCCATACCACCTAAGTCTGTTTACCATTAACTTAGTCTTAATGGGCACTACCTTTAAACTATTTAGTATTCTTGTACTGCGCACCTTAACCTTTCTTGTTACCCCAGCAATCATCCTCAGCATTCTCATCTCCATAGTTTGTAGACTTCTCTCGTCTGATTCTTTGGTTGGCCATGTTTCCGAACTATATAGAATAGTTGGTTGTACTATGGAACTGTAAATTTTTCCCTTTAATTTGTGTGGGATTCTTTTGTCAAATAGCACTCCAGATAAAGATCTACACTTTAACCACCCTTGATTAATCTTATTCTTTATCTCTTTTTCTATTGTGCCGTTTGTTTGTATAGTGGAGCCCAAATATTTGCAGCTTTCAATTGCGGATATCTGCCAATCATTTATATCAATACTCTCCGTTTCATCTCCTCCTATCACCATATACTCCGTCTTTTCTCTATTTACTTTTAATCCGTGCGTTTCTAGGATATTTATCCAATTCACTAACCTTTCTTTCATTTCATCCTTGGATTCGGCAAGTATCACAATATCATCTGCAAATATCATATTCCACGGGACTGTTTGAGGTATAGACTGTGCTAATACATCTATTACTGTAATGAAGAGAAGTGGGCTGAGAGCCGACCCTTGATGAACTCCTTCGGCTATTGTGAAGCCTGCTGAAGTACCTGTTGTGCTACGGACCATTGTTGTATGTCCCATATACATATCCTCTATTATTCTTATATATTTTTCGGGAACTTTTTTGTGGCGTAGCGCCCACCAGATAAGTTTTCTTGGGATTCTATCGAAGGCCTTTTCTAGATCGAGAAAGACCATGTGTAGCTTTTTGTTCTTTTCCCTGTATTTTTCACTCATTTGCCTAATTGCATGGATAGCATCGGTTGTTGATCTTCCAGGCATAAAGCCAAACTGTGTCTCTCCTATTTCGATTATATCTCTTAATCTTTTTTCTATTATTTTTTCGTATAGTTTTAGACAGTGTGACATTAGTTTTATGCCCCTGTAATTTTGACAATTGTGTGGATCCCCTTTATTTTTGAAGATAGGAACTAGATAGCTCTGCCTCCATTTTTGGGGGACCTCTTCATTTCCAAGTATTTTATTGTACAGATTTGTGAGGAGATGTATTCCATCATCTCCTAGTGCTTTAAGGCTTTCTATTGGAATATCGTCTGGACCCCTAGCTTTGTTGTTTTTCATATGCTTGAGGCATGTGATTATTTCTTGTTCCGTTATAGGTTGTACAAGGTTTTGACAAGGGGAGTGTTCATCGAGATGCAATATGTGGGAATTAAAGTTGAGAAGCTCCTGAAAATATTCTTTCCATCTATTCATTATTTCTTTTTCCTTTATTATCAATTTCCCATCTTTATTTTTGATTACTTTCGGAGCTCCGTTTATATCCCTAGAGTTCTTTTCTCGCTGTTTGGCTAATCTGTATATTTTATTTTGCCCTTCTTTGGTATGTAGATCTTCGTACATGTCATCGTATGCCATAGATTTGGCCCTAGCCACCGCCTTTGTAGCTAATCTCTTGGATTTTTTGTATCTTGACTTGTCATCTGCATTTTTGGATTTGTACCATATTTTATAAAGGGCTTTTTTCTCCTGTATAGTGGTTTGTACCTCTTGATTCCACCACCATAGTTCTTTGTGTGATTTGTTGCCTCCTCTTGTCAAGCCTAGCGTCGATTTTGCAGTGTCTATTAATCTGGATGAAAGGTCTGTCCAGATTTTTTCACTGACTTGTGAGGAATTTATTGTTTCAATGTTTGCATTGATTGCAAAGGCATCTGTCATTGTTTTTAATTTGACCCATTTGATGCATGGTTCCAGTTTTATCTTATTTTGAGTGGATTTATTTGAGATTTGTAAATCCATGATTAGTAGCTTGTGTTGAGCGGCGATATCTTCTCCTGGGATGACTTTGCAGTCTATTACATCTTTTAATCTTCTGCGAGAGATTAGCATGTAATCTATCTGTGTTTTCCTAGTACCACTTTCATATGTTATTAAATGACTGTCTTTTTTCCTATAGTAGGTGTTGGTTAAGGCAAGGTCGAAGGCTTGCGCAAATTTCAGTACGTGCTCTCCTTCATCATTTCTTTCTCCATATCCAAAACCACCATGATGCCTTTTGTAG